GGCTGTGTGGTGCTTAGTTGCCGACTGAGATTAAACCACGACAACTGGAAAATATATTTTGAAGGGTTGAATCAAACAAAACCAAAGCATTTCCTTGCAGTTGTTTTTCTTCCCTTTCTCCTCCTCCACTCAGTTTTCAGAATTGTTTGCTCCAGTCCATTGGCTTGGAAATAAATTTTTAACATTTCCAGTAACTTTATTCAGAGGAAGTCAATGAATATTTTTTTTATTTAAAATTTCATAGGTAACCTTTTTCTTTTTGGATCAGCCCTATTCAAGCCTCACAGATCTCTTTCAAGAAGTGAGATGCCCCTGCATTTTAGGTACAAATCAGAGCTCAGACTTCCTAGTTCTTACCCTGCACATGCTGGTCACTGGCCTCAGAGAAGAATATAATGGGGTTTGGTCCTGCTTCAGTACAATTCTCTACATCCTAGTAACTTCATTTTAGCAAAGTCACTTCCAAGTACTGGACTTATTGTTGAACAGTTTGCCAAAGTGGTATTTACTATTTGTTTCTCCTCTGATGTTCATTACAAGATGAAAAGCAGGATGACAATATAGCTAAAAATATTGAGCGACCATAGTTCAACTGTCATTTGTACATAAAATACGTCTTTCAATTCCCCCGTGCTTTCTAACTCACTGTCATTTTAGACGTTAATTGGTACAGTAAAGTATGAAAATGTAACCTTTGCTGAGATTTAAAACATGTCATTTGTGTTATAAAAGTGGTGACAACCACATGCACTGTTATGAACGATGCGGTGCATTGACTTTCATTCAAGCTGAAAGCTTGAGGTTTGAAGCTGGTATGTACACCTCGTGAATCACAAGGAGAGGAAATTGGGATGGAAGCAGTGATAGTGAGGAGGAAATAGAAACAAAATATAAGAGGCAGGGAGGGCAGGAGCCCATGTTAGAGGGTCGGGAGGGGTGAGGAAAGTGGGAGCAGAAGTTTGGGAGGTGACCTGCCTGCCGGTGCAAGAAGACCGCACTGCACGTGGGTAGGTTTGTTGCAGGGTTTTTGGGTGTTTATTACCAAAAAATGAGGTTTACAGGTAACTGTAAAGAAAGTCCAGCTCTGGGCACTCTTGTGAATAGAAAGGTGTGTATTCTGAGACAAAGAATATAATCACAAAATAGGCTGAAATTAGGGGTGAACTTTGTGCAAGCAGGAGATGAAGAAGAAGCAGATGGAGGGCCCCGGTGCTTATAAAAACTGTGTGAACTCGGTACTTTTGCCAAAACAGGCCCAGAGATGAAATACCTCACATGTCCTGACCTCTGTCCAGTTGTAAATCCTAGAGAAATGTCCAGCTCTTTTGAGTCTGGAAGCATAGCTGGATGAAATGACTTATTTTTCTATGTTGCCTTTCTTTGGTAATTATCAGTATTTCCATCTGAAGATTTATTTTGAAATCTGCATGTTATCGTTCCTTGCAAATCTCATACGCATTACAGAGGGGGAATTACCTATGCTGGTTCATTAAGAAAACATTTGATTTATTCATTCTGACCAGAAAATTGTGTAGATCTGTGTAGGCTTAAGCTCTCCTGGCTGCTGACTATCAGAGGAAGAAAACAAGCCCGAATCCAAACTGTCAGTCTCAGTTACTTGTAAATCAGAGAACCAGGTAAAACATAAATCTATTGCTGCACTTCAGAGCACACAGTTTTTTCTTGGCTTATGCATGGGGGACCCCTGTGCTTATTGTCAGCGTGGCAGCATCTGTGATGTGCGTCCTGAAGGATAAATTGCTCAGTAGCCTAAGGAGTGTATGAAGAGACAATCTGAAGTTCGTTCAGGTCAGGAAGGAAGCTTGCTAGTTACCAGCCAAATAAACAACTGCCCTTAAGCTGTAAGAAGCTAGTAATGGGATGTTATATTATTTTAAAAATCATTCATGACTACTGCATATGCATGTGACGCTGCTATTATGTGGGGAAGGGAGAGAAAAACAAGTGAGGAAAAATCAGAAAAAAACTCCTAGCCTTCATTCATAGTGCTTAATTTCTCATGAGTAATATTAAGGATATAATCACTAATGTTATTGTGTATAGACATCTTTATATGTTAAAGCATAAACTTCTAGCTCACAAATATAGTGGAACAGAAGATTTCCAATGTTAGTAATTCTGAGTGAAATATAGAGAACTTTTTCCTTATGTATTTGTTGTTTGTTCCAAATGTGGTAAGCGTATGGGCATTGTTAAAAAAATAGAAGTAAATTCCATGCATCTATTAGATCCAGTCATGAATCTAGCCTGTTTTCTCCGTGGAACCATCCATTAACACAAGACTTTCACATGTAGGGTCTATTTTTAAATAAATGGATTCTTCTGCCCACCTCATGGGATACATTTTGTCGGAGATGGATTTTACATCCGATTTTATATGATAATTCTGAAGAGCACTCCATCGTAACTAAGGAGATGAATATGAGTGCATATTTGTGAATCAGTATCTTACTTCAGCTACTAGAGAAACACTTTTTAAAACCTCCTGGCCGCTGCACCATTGGGTGGAAAATATTTTCTGTTACATTGATCTCTCTCTCTCTCTTCAACAGCTCCACAATGTTAACCTTGCATTGGACTTGCTGACAGATGGAGGTCTTCTGAATTTTTCTGTGAACTCTGAAGGTGAGTCATGGCACGCAAACTCATCTGGAATAGAATTGCTAATATTCTGGCTTAGCAAAAGTTAGGGTAATTGAAGAAAGTAGGTTCTGCAGTCTGACACTGACACATTCCGTTATATGGCTGCCTCATAACTCCTCATGCAGAATGAATAATAATAATGCTGAGGATCGTTTTGAACAATCTACTTCTGTACTAAAAATGTTGGATTTTTATAAGTTTAGTAACTTTACACTAAGGTTAAACTGTTTAATAAGTCAGTATTTGTTAAAGATTTAAACCAGTGGCAGCTCCTAGGGAAATTACAGCAGCTGAGCTAGAGGCAAAGCTATTTTCTTATCTCGTAAAAAGTTTTGGTGCGTTAAAAACAAGCTTGTTTCATATGGGAGGACACTTTGTGGAATATGTCCTGAAAATCAGAAACACTGACCGCTCTGTTCAAACCCAGAAGAGCTGTTGGTTCAGTCTCCTGAAAGTGACATTCATAGGTTTTAAGTTGCTATTCTGCCTAGTTCAGACCCGGGAGCTGAATCTTGATCTCCTACATCCAAGTGGATGCTTTCATTGCCGAGTCAATGTACATGCATGTTCCCACCACAAAGAAAAAGTTTCCTTTGGATGAGTCAAATTTTCCAATTAAAAAAATGCTCCACAGAAAAATTTTTGACCAGCTCCTGGTGGGATGAGGGATGTGGCTACATTAATGGCTGGTGCTGTGACTGCTTAGCCTGACCTCTTGCAGGGCATGTAACCTCACCCCATCATTCTTCCATCAAGCGCAAGAGCTTGTTGTTGAATAAGGAAATCAAATCTTTATTAAAAATAGAAAGCATTATCACTTCCCCTATTAGTTATTCATAAGCAAGCGGGCGCATGGGTTTAGTATGTAACCCATGGCATCATGGAGAGGGAAGGATAGAATTTAGGACTTTCTCTGGTTTTTCTTTTGTTTTCTTTTTCCACGAATGCTTTGGTGATGTTGGCAGTTTGCATGACAGGCATGCATGAATTGTGGGCTTTTTGCCGTATTGCATAGAGCGAGGAGTTTGGAAAGCTATTTATGTTAACTTTGAAAAGAGTAATCTGTGTGAGCTCCGGTCTCCATGCTGAGATCCACCTTTTGTATGAAAGGAGTTAAACCCATGCTTTCTTTCCTTCCCTCTGGCTGTTCTGCACTGCCTCAAATACAGAGTTGATCAGTATAAGAAATATTGGTGCCAACATCTGCAGGTCCTTTAGCTTCACTGGGAAAATCCTCAGCTAGTGATTGAATTTAATATGATTTAGGGGTACTTACTACAGCTGCACTATTTAGACTGTTCAAGAATCTCATTTACTAGTGTTTCATTGTTAGTCTTTCTCCTGGTGATTTACAGCGCCGTAAGAAGAACAGTAAACCCTCTAAATCAGTTAGCCTCTTCCATTGCAATTATTAAATACAAGTGCAGTTTGTTTAGCCCAGAACACTGAAGCTGAAAACTAAATGGAAAAAAGAAAACAGCCAACAGCAGCAAAACATGATGGAAACATTACAACCAAAAAATAAAGTGTCAGGTAATTCCCAACATGATTCCTGCTATAGAAGAATCATAAAAAACTAAAGCTGTAAAGTCCTATTAAATTATCTACTCTGTTCTCTGCTAGTGAAGAATTATTTCTTACTATGCATTATTTATCCTGTCTTCCAGGAAGAGAGTGCAGTGAAGGTCCCTTTTCCTTAAGCGCATTTAATAAATAAATAATTTGCCAGCTCTGCAGTTCCTGTGTTGCTTCTTGTTACAATTAGAGTGCCCAAGTTCACGTTATAATTGGGGAAAGGTAGAAGATTGTCTTTGGCAGTTGCAGTCTCTTTCTATTCCAGGGATTGCTAATACTTCCCATCTGGTTTTGTTGTTTCTTGTGTATCCACAGATATTGTGAACGGAGATATGAAGACTACAATGCGGATTCTGTATTGCTTGTATTCCAAATACAAGGCCAAAGAAACATGAAGAGCAAGGCCAAGAGCTTGGGCTCTTTTTTTTGTCTTCTTTTTTTTTTTCCCTGGCATGTCATGGTCTGATTTTTGGATTCCCATCTCTGTTTGCCACTGTTTATGTGCATGCACTTGTGTTTGACACTTAACGTATTAACATTGTATATGCAAGTATGTATTTGTGCAAGGTTTCACCTATACCGCCTGAATAGCTGTAAGTATGTGTGTGTCCAGGGCCAGTGTAGTGTGTAATCCTGTGGCTGTAGCTCTTGCTCCAGCCCTGTCTCTTGTTCTTTCTGAGCCCGCCTAATGCTGCAAAGAAGTGCAATGTGTGTTTATTCTGGACTGTGCATTCTTTGCTTCTGGAGATGAATTTGGAAGCTGTTATTGCAACCTCCCCACTTCCCCGCTTCTGATTCACTCGGGAAACTAGGGAGGTGAAAGACCCACCATGGCATCTCTGGGAAGACTGCAGACATGCTTGAAGCTCAAGTTCAAAACCTTCTTTACACAGGTGGCCAGCTGTTGTTACACAAGAGGATGTGGATTGGGCACCAAATGAATAGGTAGCTGAAATGAAATCTGAACTCACCAAGTGTTTGATAAAACTTTCACCATTTTGTCTGTTTGAATATGGAAAAGGGACCCAGAATAACATGCTGGCGTGAGACTGTGCAGTAACAGAGGGGTCTACTGCACAGCTGTGGAAAGTTGCCCTTATTTCCTTGCTAAGCTAATGCCAAACTGTGGCCAGCTCCAGCCTGTTGCAGCCCTAACGTTATATCTGGCTAGTGGGAATGCCTATTCCTGTGTCTAGCAGGTTATAGGAGCGACCAACACGACCGCGCTTTCTCTCCAGTAGGAGGTTGATAGATGTTGGCTTCCTCTGCAGCCCGCAGAAGTAGAGGCTATGATGGACGGGAGTAGTGAAACTCTCACCTTCTGCCACTTCTGACAGCATACTCGTGCTGCAAGGACTCTCAAACCACTCTGAGACTCTCTTAGCTGAGTTTGTCCAGCGACCGTCCCCAAGCATCCCAGCAGCTCCCTCTGGATGCAGCAAGGCTAGCCGCAATTTATGTTAGCTGTCACCCTCAATCCTTCTCGGGGGTCTTAAATCAGAATTCCTTCAAAACCTCCATCTTACTCCCTTGACCTTAAAATTATGACATGTTTATGTTGCATAAAGCTGGAGATCTAATTAAAAAAAAAAAAAAAGATGTTTTGGTATTATTTTGGCTTCCTTCTAAACTGATTTAATTTGCTGTCGTCAATGACTGACATTTGATCTCTGATCTGATCCTCCATCTGTGTGTTAATGGGAAACCAAAGCTCGCCTAGTGCGAGTGCTGACATTTACAGATGAGAATTTGTTGTGTCTAGTTCTGGATCACACAGCCTAAGAAATATCCTTAGATAGCAATGCTGATAAGTCTTCGAGTCCTGCCTTTGAAAATGGTAATACTGCACAGCTGCTGGAGGAAAGAGTTCTGCAAACTGCCCTGAGCCTAATCCTTTTTGCACCAATAATTACCTTGTTATGTTTTTACAGAGAAAAATCCAATGTGTGGTGCCAATGAGCTACAAGAAGATCAACTTGCTTCCCTAGCAAATTAGTTGTGTATGCTGTTTTGAACAATTTAAGTAAAAAATACTTGTTTTTTCATGTGCAAGTCTCCATAGGTATCTTGCTTTATTCTTTAATGGGCTTCAAACAATCGACTGGGAGACCTCAGAAGTTTGTTCTTCCTTCACAGATCCCTGCTGCCGTTGCTGTAACATGGCAAGCGGATTGTAGAATAAATCATTATTGAGCAGATAAAACTGGGATGTGGCTTGTGGAGAGCAGGGGCAAGGGGGCAGGAGGGCATTTGGTGGTAATACGGTGGCAGCGTGGCCTTTTCCACCAAGGAAGCCAACCTGGATCTCTTCCCTGGTGCTGGTGACCAGAAGTAATTTCCAGTGCATGACTTTAGGCATAACCCAGAGGCTATGAAAAAGTTAGTGGTGGTGGGATTAGCTGGTGCTCCCCTGGTCAGATGGTTATTGCTGCTCAAGGAAACAGACTTTTCTCTGCGTGTTCTGAGTTTTGTGGTCCACTCCTCCGGCATAAGTAAATCCGGTGCTTGTACTTCTGCAGACTCCTGGCAGGGGAAGTCTAGTTCTTGGTATTTTAATAAACGAAAGGATCATATTCCCTTCCCAACACCAGCTTGCCTAAACCTGTTATGAACAAGTCATTCTTTTGAAAACATACAGGGGAAAAAATGACAGCTAATGTGCTTGAATCAAAAATATAGCGAGACCAAAAATGAATGTTTTAATTTGTTTTTTATGCTGCGAGCCAATTTATAACATGCTTGATGTCTCTGAACCCTTTGATAAAGAGTCTGTGTTTGATTCCTAAAACACACTACAGAATTTTACTAATCCATCATACAGGCACCCACTCCATAAATTGGTGTAGAATATACAAGTACACTATTTACATTTGAGATGAAGTCACAGACTTGGCATAGTTTTAATAGTAAATGTAAAGTGACAGAGCTAAAAAGAATATTCCGACAGTATGAAAGTGGGGAAAAAAGAAATATATATTATTGTTCTCAGATGTTACTTTTGCCTTCCATCAAGATAACCTGTTTCCCTTTTCTCTTATAAATATAAGTTAATGAAAAACAAAGCCACTTACTGTTTAAGCTGGCAAATTAACTATGATATTTTGAATAAACTAAGCTCTCTCTATGCGAGCCTGTTCATTGACACGTAATTAAGTTTACAATTTTCATGTTTAAATCCTAGATAGTAAGCTGTTTGTGATGGAAAAGCATGGTGGACTATTAAGTGTGGTTGGGTTTTTTTATCATGCTGTGTAGCTAGGGATGCAAGTTTAACTGCGATGACTGTTCAGTTTTCCAACCGAGTCATTGACTGACTGTGTCTTACTCTGTTTCCAAGGAAGAACATGCAGTCTGTTTATCTTTTAAATAACCAGTAAATGGCCCAAGAATTTCTAAGCCAGAGAAGAGCCCTACAGGAGCTTCTGTTGTTATCCTTGTCTCAAAGATAAGTGGCGCGGTGGCTTCGCGGCAAGGCAACAACCGGGACGTGGAACAGATCTGGAGTGTTTCTAACTCCTGCTTGCTGTCGTCTTTCTGTTGTCCTGTCTTTCCAAAATACACAGCCTCATAACTATAAAGATGTCTTTCCAGAGGCAGAGTGGCAAGGGCCTGTGGAGAGAAGCGCAGGTGGAAGGGGCAGAGTTCCCACGATGACTTTAAGGGAAGCAGCAGATGCACAAAAGTTTTTGTTAATGGGCTCAAGGGACCGAGACAGGTACTGGCTGTAAAGCCTGGGAAAGCAAACTGGGGATCTGTCCCTGCTGTCAAAACCCCTTCTCCTTGGGAGGAGGATTACGTTGCCATTTTTTCATGCCCTCATTTGGCTACAGCCCTCTAACTGGGACCTTGCTGGTGTGCCTCTCTGGGAACTGGCCAGTTAAACTCCAGAGGGAAAACATTGGCAGCCCCCAAATGCGCTTGACGGGTGGGAGCAGCACCCATACTCCTCTGAGGTAGAGCTTATTCTTAGTGCCTATCCTTTTCTTTCTTTCTTCTTTTTTCCCTTCTCTTCTTCTTTTCCTATGGTTTCTGTTGTGTTGCTTCTTGCAGGGAGACATCCCCACAGTTGCTTCCAAAAGTCTCTTTGGCAATTAGGCTTTCAAATCATGAAAGCAGCTAATTCAAATTCTTTCTCTCCATGAGTGCGAAGGGCATGTGTGTGTTTGTGTCTGTGTGAAGGGATCTCACTGTTCTTTCTCTTTCAGGCTTCTAAAATTTCCCCAAAGAATAAAAGCCATTGTCAGTTTTTACACAAGTGATTTTTTTTTTCTAGTCAATTAATGTAATAAAGAATAGATGAAAGTGTTACTTTGGAGGAAACAAAATAGTATATATGAGCCCTTCTACTTGCTGTGGGGATGGATGGGTTTCCTGTGCTACTCGAAATTTTCTAGGATGGTGACAAGGTGAGCAGGACACAAAGAGCAATATATGGAGAGGTGAGTTTTGAGTCTAGAGATAATGAAATCAAGAGAGCAGTACTGGAACGTCCCTGTCCCCCCTGTCCTCTCCATCAGGCAGGTGTACTTTCTGGAATATTACAATGAAAAAACCCACAACAAACCACCTCTATTTCTTTGGCATTTTGATTTGAACAAAGTGCGTCAGGGTACCTTTGCCATTGACTTTTCCCCTTAGCGCCTCCAGATTTCTAAGCCTTTCCCCCCCATGTCGATCCATTACAACTGGAGTCCTCTAAGCCATTCTGCCATTCTGCTCCATCCACTGGCTAGAATTAAAGTTTTTAAGGACTTTATCCACTGATGTCCTTTCTCAGGCTGTACTTAGCGAATTTCACACTCCTTGGCACAAAGTCAATAAAATAATATGAAATAACAGATAAGTGTTAGAGAAGAAGGGAGGAGCTTGGTCAAAAACTGATTAATTTTATCTGTAGAACACTGCCTTGCCACTTGGATAAGAACTGTCTAAATTTAGGTCCTAAAATCTTGCTGTCATGAAATGCTGGGGAATTGCAGTTCAGGTACCTCATGCTGTCCCCTTCACCTCTATTCCAGGTGACCATCAGGCTTTATCTCCTGTAGAGAGCTGCAGTCTGCGCTGGGCTCTTCCTTACGCTGTAGGGAGCACGTGCTCCACGGCAGTTGGGTGGTTTAGTTTCTTTTGGGAAACGGAGCCCGACTGCAGAGTTGTGTCCATGATGGTAAATGCAAAGTTGACAGGTACAGACTGAAATGCCTGTGGTGTAACGATGATCTTTAGAGGTCCCTTCCAACCCAAACTATTCTATGATTCGATGATAATGCAAATATGTTCTTTTTCCATCTTTTTTCATCTTTTCTCCACTTAGCTCCCCCCCGCCCCTTTTTTTCCATCTAAAGCCCAGTTTTCTCAATGGGGAAGCATTTTATTTTAATGAAAAATGTCAACCGTCACAATCCATCATCACTTTCATATCAGGGCAGTCTGTGTCTCAGGATCCTCAACTGCAGAGCATACTTTCAGTGAAATGTCCAGGGGGGTGATGGGGGCCGGTTTGTCCCTCGGCTTGGATGTCTTTCAGGACCACCTGTCACATAATCCAGTTGCCAGCCCCAGGCCAGAGAACATAATAAATATTTTAAAGTCTGTAAGCACAGCGCTAGTCAGGCTTTTAGGGACCAAAAGACAGGAAAAATAAAATGTATAGAGTAAAAAAGCCACAAGTTTCAAAGTAGTTCTTGTTGTGGATGTTTTTACTAGAAATACTATTGCAAACATATGATATGACCCTAAATGCAGCTAAAGAATGAAATTCTGTTATGAAATAGAAAAGAGTTTAGATAGTTTGGACCACATTAAGTTATGATATTGTCATAGTAATATAAAGAAGTCTTAGTGGAATCAGATCTATGTACTTTGTCAAGTTATTCTACAGACACACCAACTAAAATTATGCAAAAAATGAATCAACCTCAATTTACAGCCTCCTTCTAGCATCCAACTTTTCTATGTGTTCTTCCCCCTGCATATTTCAGTACTTTGGCATTCTGACTCCTTGCCCCCCCAGTTTTCCTTGTTCTTGTGCCCCTCTCATGCTGCTGGCCCAGGTGGTGGGCCTTTCCGCAGCGCCTGCTCCTTCCCCTCTTCGTGCTCAGAGCTGCCGGCGTGTCGCTGGGAAGGTATCTTCTAGAGAAGTCATATATGCAATGCAAAAAAGCTGTGAAAAAAATCTGGAAACACCAGCTGGCTGCTGTGTATAAGAATTTAAAATGTTTCTCAGTGGTATGCGAGAAGAATTCCTTTGTCCTTCCTCCAATTTAAAAAAAATATCAAAGATAGAAGATAGCATTTTGACTGACCCAGTATGTTAGGGATGCAGAAGTACCTCCAAATCACGCTAATGAGCTAATTTTCCATCCCCATTTTACCTTTTGATGCAACGCAGCTGGGATATATGTGTGTGTGTGTGTAGTTTTCCTGGATGTGTTCCCTTTTTGGCAGGAAAATGTTGAATAGGGAGGTTTTGAACATTTCTGGATGTTTGAGAACTCCAGCAGATCAGAATCCTCTAACGCAGTTGTTGTACGCCAGGATTTTTTGTGGTTGTGCGTGGGATTTCTGGATACCGGTCTCCCAGTTGGCACTGGTGGGAACGTACCCTCTGCTGTGTTGTCATGTGTAGCAGTGTAACTTCTCCTAGAAGTGCCAGGTTTGCAGTGCGCAAGCAGAATTAGGTAGGTGTAGGACATACCTCATAGTTGTGACACCTCAGGTTTGCTGTCTGTGCATTCTGCAGATTTTGTGCGCATACTTGTGTATAAGAAGTCTTGTCATGATGATGGTCTTCATCAATAGCAAACAGTGACAGAAGGCTAGACATCTCCTAAGGTGAAGCTCGGAGGTTGTTTTTTGGGACAATTACAGCACAAGACGAATACAGCCCTCACACCAAGACTCTTCCAAATTAGTGTATCTTAGGTAAGAGAAATTTAAGCATGTAATTTCTATGCGCAAATACCTGTAAAGCTTGCATCCTAGTAGTGTTACAGAACTGGAAGAGCCACAGGTTTGATCCTAGTGCTTTCTTTGTCCTTAAAGTTACTCATGAGATAACCAGCAAGATACGCTTTGAAAAGACTTTTTGTTCTCCTGATGGTGTAAAGTCTGTCTGGAAGGGCAATGAAATCTATAGGGAAAGAGATTTTCTAGGATCTTGGACATGAGGCCAAAAGGGCAAGAGCTGTTGATAGAATTTCTTATAGGGGATCCCCGCTGCAGAAATGTTGGCTCTGGCTCACTGCTAAGTTTAGAAAC